GGATGGGGGGGGCCCTGGGGCTGGCCCAGGGCAGTCAGGATGGGGGGCTCCTGAGGCTGGCCCAGGGCAGTCAGGATGGGGGGGCCCCTGAGGCTGGCCCAGGGCAGCCAGGATGGGGGTGCTCCTGAGGCTGGCCCAGGGCAGTCAGGATGGGGAGGGCCCTGGGGCTGGCCAGATAGACCTGATTCAGGATGGGGGGGGCTGCAGTCCTCCTCCTTGGCCCCAACCACAGCCGCTGTTCTCAGGTGCTGCCTTGGGAGTCTGAAGGAGATGTAATGCTGGTCGGTGCTTCTGTGTGTGTGGCTACGTGTTTCCAGTATCCTGAAAGAGATGTCGAAAACACACACACACACACACACACGTGTGTAATGAGGGGCAAAACACCCCAAGCTGCAGTAAAGTGTGGCACATCTTCAGACCAGAAGCCGATGTCCCCATCAGCAAAAAGGCCTCCGAATCAGGCAGCCGGGAGGCCACCCAGACGGCCACGTGATTTCCACCACTCCTCCTGGGCACTAGCCAGGGACAGGCCCCAGGCCGCTGCTCGGCTCCGCCAGCAAGGGCCCGCTCTCCACCCACACCCACCTCCCTCTCTCTCACACACACACTCACACTCACACACACTCTCAAACACACTGCACAATTACACTCACACACTCTCAGACTCACATTCTCTCACATTCATACACACACATTCACACACACTCTCAGACTCACTCGCACACAATCACACACACACTCTTGCTCTCACACTCACAATCACACACACACTCTTGCTCTCACACTCACAATCACACACACTCTTGCTCTCACACTCGCACACACTCACACGCTCATGCACACTCACTTGCACACAGGTTCTCACACTCATGTGGGAGAGGCACTGCCCACGATCCTGACTCCTCACAGGGGGCCTGGGGCCACCTCGCCTTCCTCCTGCTCCTTGTGCAGAGCAGAGCAGAGCAGGGTGGGCAGGTCCTGAGCTCCCAGCACAGGCCACCTCTAGGGCAGCCCCGTCCAGCAGGTCCAGCCCTCCCAGGATGGACTCGGCTGGCGACTTCTCCTGGAAGGCCCAAAAAGCCCAGCGCCCCGCTTGTCTTGAAGGAGAACTGGGGCTGGGGCCCAGGGCGGAGGCCTGCTGGGAAGGCACTCGGGCACTGCGAGCCCGGAAGCCCCTCGGAGGAGGGCCATTACCTCATTCAAAGGGCCTGATGCTTCACGAGAGTGGACGGAATTCGAGTCTCGGAGGTCTCCGACAGATTCAGCCTCACCCAGGGAGCGTTTCTAGCACCTTCTGTGCCGGGGCCTAGCAGATCCATGTCTGTGCAGAATGGAGGACGACCTGGCCAGGGTCAGCACATCCCCCCAGGCCCCTGGCTCTGCCTCCTGCTGCAGCCAGGCCTGGGCTCCACACACCCCCGCTGACCCTCGGTGGCTGAGAACTGACCAGTGAGCCGTGTTCTGTTCTGACCATCACCTGCAGGT